GATATTTCCGTAATTCCAGTATCTTATTATATAATTCAATTACTAATAATAATATAATATGTTCAAATCCCCCTGATGATGGTATGGGAAAATAGAAACAACCGTTTGTCGTGGAATGGCCCTCTTTCTACTCACCTTTCTGTGATAGAAATCTTTGATTGTTATACGAATTTTCATAGGTAGATAAGGACAGATTTAGGTTCTTGAAAATTATATTTGTTAATTCTATTATTTTGAAAATTATATGTGCAATAGTAAAAAAGATCATTATATTAAGTAATTCAAATATTATCGAATTTCTACGAATTACTAATAATAATATAATATCTTGAAATTCACCTGATGACGTTCTAGCAAAACAGAAACAACCGTTTGCGGTGGAACGGTCCTATTTCTGGTCACCCTCAAGAATATACCTGATGATTGATAGCCTAGGCAACTATCGAAACGCTTCGTGTGATGCTTTGAATTTTCTTATCAATTTTGTATTCTATCAGGCCATGCAGGTGCGTGTGCTCTTTCAAAGAAACAAAAACTAATTGTCCATCATGAAGCCTCGTGGAGAAATCTCGGTTGCCAAAAAGGCGATTTTTCGCCCTTGTTTTATGAATATCTCGTAAACCTGTCACGATATTGGGCTGAAAATTTTATCATAACATCCCCAGAACATCCCTTACATATCCTGAAAATTTCAATGCGATTTCATTAATTTATTGTTTTTAATCTTCTTCGCAGAAGAAATATTTCTTTACAACTGACGTTTTCTTAGATCTATGGCATCATCATCTAACATTCTGTAAATTTGAAAATGGGATCTTGTTGATATGGAGCATCTCCTGAAAAGGTGTGCGCGTTGCATTATGTAGCAAAAGATAAACAGTTTGTTTTAACATGGGCAGTGTTTTCTTTGAGGCAGCCACTTAAACAACATCATCAAAAGCAAACAATTGATGAGTCAAGGTGAAGACGATATTCTATTATCTACGTTATGACTTTGCAACAAACATGCTTCTTTCCTTTTTTTCAGCTGTTACTCACTTTGTTCTCAGTTGGTCGCCTTGGTTCATTTCAGATTTTTCTAAGTCGTAAGATTCGAAATTCTTTTCAGTAAGAAGAAAAAATACATTATTCAACTAGCAAAATCAACAAACTCTAAGGTATGTATGTAATACGCTGGCAAGATGCCTTTTTGGAAGTGTCTATTTATATGACTTTATTTAATATGTTCATTATTCCAAATTATATTGCAGCAGTGTGTCTGAACTTTGAATGATAGCAAAGAATAGTGAAAGAGATGCATCTTCGCACACGATCGCACATCATTGAGTAGCTCGAACCCAAGAAAATTACTGTCTTCTGTGTGTCGGAGTGCTTTGATAAACTGTAACCAGCAACTAAAGGGATTGTCTGAATACTTTCTATGGTTCTCCGAAAGGGACTAATTTGTTTTTCTTTAGATTTTCATAGAATCAAAGATCTCAAGAAAACTTTCGTCCAAGCACAGAACTAAATACATTAATAATATTCTATTAAATCAGTTTTGCCCCTTTTCTAGACTCGGACTCGATTAACTCTAGGTCATCGGTACATCGATATGGCATTTAACAACACGGTCTCGTCATCGTCGGACCAATCAGGTAAGCGACAAAAAGAACAAATATGACGATCTGCTTAGTTGTCTGATTGTTTTGAACATTTTGTCAATCTGCGCATATTACCATTCCTCATATAACTAAGTACTGTCTTCATAAGTTAGCGTCTGATAATAATGATTAGTTCGAGTATTCTTTGTGTGATGAAACAAATATCGAAACACATCGCAAATCGTACGTGACTTGATTGAATTACTACCTACAGTTATCGATAAAAATGCTCAAGATCGAGATGCATGTGAGCGCACATCTGATTCATTACGATTCTAGAAATCTTGAGTCATATTGAAAGTTATTTCGGTTTTCTTGACTCTATATACAGTGTATTTTTTGCGGAAAATAACTTTCACGTTTTGTTCATAGACAAAAAACTTCGCCTTAATCGTCTCATTGTCAGTCTCTGCCTACACTACTATTTTTAATCTTAGCTTCAATTCAGTGTAGCAATTGTGATTCTGCCACGGCCACACTTTGGTGTGGCAAATGTGACGACGTCAGCTATTGTTCAGAGTGCTACACAACCGTTCACGCATACCCAGCATTGAGGGCTCACCGATCAGTACCAATCAGCGAAAGGCCACCGGAAATGGTCCCATGCGTGGTACACCCAAGAAAAGAACTTGAGTTTTGGTGTTACACATGTGACACCCTTATCTGTACCAATTGTCGATTGTTTGTTCACAAAGATCACAAATTTGATTTAGTCGAGGAAGTTGTAAAAGAAGTTAAAGCAAATGTCAGTGTTCCATTCTATTCTTGGTAATAGTATGAAAAAGTTTTTGGTCATTTAGTTGCAAACTGGTCTTGAAGAAATTCAATTATCTTTGAATCAAAGACAAGCGATGGTGGCTGCAGTTGAATATGACAACGAAGGAAAGATCACTGAAAGTTTTGCATTTCTACATAAGGTGATCGATGAGTATGAGAAAACATTGGAACAACAAAGTCTGGCAATCAAAACCAAAAATGAACAATTGATTGAAGACTACCAAACTCGGCTTCAGAGCCATCATCAAATGGAACGTGATCAAAGCGCAGAATTCACACGGATTCTCTTAACAAACAATCCTACAAAGTTATTGCAAGCTAAAAAAGGATTTGTCGATTATTTGAATAAGACAACTGAAGAATTGCGTGAGCTGGCACCACCTATTCTAACCAATTATCATATTGAAGGATTCGATCAATTACAAGCAGCTGTCGAAAGGAGACTCAGACTCTTACGTATTATTGAAACTCCACTATATCAGAATTTCCAACTCAACGAAGACATCGTCGATGATAGAGGTAACTTGGAGCTAAATTTGTAATCTCAATAGTTAACCGATCAAGATATGAGAATTGTGACTAGTATGCTACGAAAATACCAGACGCAACTGAGGTTTCTTCCATTTTATCGTATCATAATCGTTCTCCTCTTTTCTAAATTAATCTAGGACACTTATCCGCAGCTGTTCTAAGGAAACAAAAATTTCCCAAGTTTTTTCCTTCTAAGTATTTTCTCTTTACTTTCACATGCTACTCCAGCCTCTACACATATTATCTTAAGTTGAAAGTAAAAGAGAAATGTACAAAAGTCGCAATGACTTCACAAAAAAAAATTCAACAAACAATAAAGCCACACTCATCCTCAGCCCGTGCAAGTGTTCTCAGGCAAATCTCCTACAGGAAAGTGGGCTTATAACTTTCTAAATAAGCATGTTTTATTTGTAGTCAACATGTGCATTCATTCATCTTGTTTCGTTTTAGAGTCCAACTCAGCGAAAGAGCAATCGATGCAGTCGTTTGTTGAAGCATGTCAATTTCGATCAGGTGAGAATTCGTCCCCAATAAATCGGGTCTCTTTCTTTATCAAGATAATTTGTTTCTTATTAGATAAAAAATGGCTCGATCGTCAGTATTATTATGATGGTAGAGACAAAAGAATTGTGAAACCCGACGAACTCGAGGATATGATGGAAGATCCTTCTGGATCTATTGATGAAGAACTCCTCAATCGAATTCATGGATCAATGATTGGTATGGCCTTGGGTGATGCTCTCGGTGCTCATGTTGAATTTCGGACTCATGCATATTTGGTTAAACACCCAGTGACCGATTTTCAAGAAGATGAGGCACGAGGTCTCAAAAAAGGACAAGTAAGACTTCTACTCGCATAATTATTTCCTTTCGTTTCTTTCCAATTCATTAGTTCTCTTTAAACTAATTCAAAACTCCTTGATAAAGGCGAAAACCATGAAAATAGCGTATTTCTTTCATTTCTATTAAAGTAATCATTTCAACAAGAGCTCATACGTGTTTAACTTGACGTTGCAGAATAAAGTATAAAATCCAATCGGAGTTTATTAATTAGTTTTAGCCAAGGTAAACTTGTTTTTAATTTTCGTCAATCTCTAATCCAGGTAGACAGAGACTTTGAAAAAAGTACGAATTGTATGTACAAAGGGAATAAACTAGGCGGAGTTTTAGTGTCTAGCCTATTTGGATCATTTTATTTGAAGAAATTAACATAAGTCCATCAAGTCTCATTTGAATTGTGTCAAGATTTCCCTCTGATTCACAAGAAAATTACTTTTTCGAAAAAGCCCAGTTTACTTCGTAAAGATTGATTCGAAAAGATTGGACGATCTTTCTTTTATTTAAACTATGGATTTAATGTAATAAAGAATAAGATATTTGATGTCAAAACGAGAAACTGTCTATCAACAACATATAAATTTCGATCGCATATTTTATCAAGAAAAAGGATGGTGTCCAAATCCAAAAGTGAGAGTGATTCTTATTTGTCTAGTCCACAGATGCTACTTCAATGGCTCTTTGTTTGGCTAATTCGTTGATAGCTCGTCGTCATTTTAATCCATATGATCAATTAGTTCGTTATAAATGGTGGTACAAAAATGGATATATGACATCAACTGGACGATGTTTCGATATTGGCGAAAATACAAGTCAATCGTTCGACGAATTTCAACGGCGTCAAGAGTCTTTGGCCAAAGATCATCAAATTCCTCTTGAACAATTGGACTTTCTCTCCGACTATCATCTTCTGGCCAATTTCAATGTAGATTGTAGCAAAATCGGTGCAGCTGGCAACGGAGCTTTGATGCGTCTCGCACCCGTACCACTGTTCTTTCATAAATGGCCAATTCATGCTGTTGAATTTTCTGGTCGTAGTGGTCAAATCACTCATGGTGATCCGAAAGCCTATGATGCGTGCCGTTACTATGGAGCTCTTATTGTGGCCACTCTTCGTGGTGAATCAAAAGAGCAGTTACTTGACAATGAGTTTTATGTAAAACACAAACCGTGGTTTAATGGTAAGCGTCTTCATACGGATATAGAAGCCATAGCTAAAGGATCATATAAACAACGTCAAGGCTATGATGGTGGAATACGAGGTAACGGATATATTGTTAACACTCTTCAAGCTGCTTTATGGGCATTTTGGGCCGATGAAAACAATTTTGAGAAAGGTGTGCTTGCTGCAGTCAATCTTGGCGATGATACTGACACAACAGCCGCTATTTATGGACAATTAGCCGGCGTCTACTATGGCTTTAAAAAATTGCCTGAAAACTGGCGCGATCAAGTCTACGCTAAAGATTTCATCAAGTGTGTAAGTAAGTGGATCGTCTACGAGGGAAACCAATGGCAACCAGAAGAGCCAACACATTCTACTCAACAATCGAAAATCAATCAAAAAACAAACTGACTTATCTCTTGAAGATAAGACAAATCAACTTGCTATTCTCAACTCTTCCTTTTCAGCAATCGATCTTTGTTAAAACTAATTTAACATATAGATAATGTACTTGCAAATAAAGATAAATGCAGAGTTAAATTTCGCCGACGCGTTTCATGTTATTTTATTTGAAAATTAGACACTCATCCGGGCTCTGCACACAGTTCAGCGGGATGTGGGTGTGGGTGTCGGTGTGGTGTAGGGTGTGCGTGTGGGCATGAGTGAGGCCGTAGGTGTGGATGCGGGTGTAGGTGTAGGTCCTCGTGAGGGTGTGGATGTAGGGTGTGGGAGTGAGTATGGGTATGGGTATGGGTGAGGGTGTACGTGTGGGTCCTCGTGAGGACAAATCTTCCTAGAGCTCGTACCAACACGCTAGACCCCACACGAACACCCTACATCCAACAGGGTGTGGGTGTGGGTGTGGCAGTAGTTGGCATGACTAAAACCACACTTACGTTCACACTCACACCCCATCCACACCCCACACCCACACCCACCAACACCCACACCCACACCCACACCCACACCCACACCTACACCCACACCCACACCTACACCCACACCCACACCCCACACCCGCATCCACACCCACATACCCACATCCACGCCAACCCACACCCACACCCAGCCACACCCACACCCAACTGTGCACCCAAATCGAGATACATGAGGGTGTGGGTGTGGGTGTGGGTGTGATGTGGAGATGTAAGTGTGGGTGTGGATCTGGGCGTGGGTTGAGTGTGGGTCTGGATGTGGTGTGGGTGTGGATGTGGATGTGGGTGTGGGTGGACTGTGGGTTTGAGTCTGAGTCTGGATCTGGGTGTAGGTGGGTGGATATGCGTGTGCGTACGCGTGTGGTTGGATGTAGGTGTGGGTGGCGGTGAGGGTGTGTTTGAATGTGGGTGGATGGGTGTGAATTTGGATGTCGGCGTGGGTGTGGGTGTGTGTTTGGACGTGGGCTAGGGCGAGTGTGAGTGTGAGTGTAGGTTTTCTTTTAACCAACACCCACATCCACACCCACACTCACACCCGGACTTACAAACCCAGTCAACTAAGATATTTTTCTTTTCTAAGCACAACAAATAAAAACTGATACAACTTTGATAAGCAGTTAAGAATAAAAATAAACATGTAATAAGAAAGAAAAAAAACAGTCTTAAAGAAAATAAAATACGACACATAAAAAAACCAACCAAATGTGAGATAGAGAAATCGAGACATGTTCGAAAAAAGAGAAATACAAAGATTAACTTTTATTTATTGATATTCTTGACTACAATATTTATATAATTTCATCCTCCAACTATATTATATTTTTTATTGATGTAAGTGACATTCTTATTTTTATAGAAAACGCTTCGCATAAACATTCGCGAATAAAAAATTATTTTTAACACATAATAGAGTTTTTTGTTTGATAACTACTTTCAATTTATACAAATTTACCTCAGATTAAATATTTCCATTGATTTAAATATAGATTGTTCGAGATCCGATAGTTCTTTACGATGGGAACGACAAAGTAAAAGTTATTCTGACATCAATTTTGCTTAATTTTATGGATTTAAAATTTCGTATTATGATCTGCTGAAAATTGAACTTTTAATAGGGTAATAATACGAAACTACTGATCCATCATTTCAAAGAGTACTGGTGTTAGGATAATGTGGGTGATGTACATAAACAAATACTCCATAGGATAACCTAGGTCAGGATTCCAGCATTTCCTGATTGGATTCGATCATGAAGCCGACCAAACTAGATCAATCACATATGTAGATAGAACTCGACGAGCTCTATCGATTTCACATCTGATTCGTTAAAATTCAATGCTCCATCAATGAAAAAATGGTTAATTAACGTTTTTCTTATACACAGCATAAAAAGAATATTGCTTATATCAGAGATAGCTTGTGCCAATAACTGTGCACCCAAATCGAGATACATGAGGGTGTGGGTGTGATGTGGAGATGGAAGTATGGGTGTGGATGTGGGCGTGGATGTGGGCGTGGATGTGGGCGTGGGTTGAGTGTGGGTGTGGGTCTGGGTCTGGATGTGATGTGGGTGTGGATGTGGATGTGGGTGGTGGTGGAGTGCGGGTTTGAGTCTGAGTCTGGATCTGGGTGTAGGTGGGCGGATGTGCGTGTGCGTACGCGTGTGGTTGGATGTAGGTGTGGGTGGCGATGAGGGTGTGTTTGAATGTGGGTGGATGTGGGTGTCGGCGTGGGTGTGGGTGTGGGTGTGTGTTTGGACGTGGGCCAGGGCGAGTGTGAGTGTGAGTGTAGTTTTTCTTTTAACCAACACCCACATTTACACCCATCCACACTCACATCCACATACCCAACCATACACCCACACCCACAGCCACACCCACACCCACAGCCACACCCACACCATTACGACAGAAAGAGAACAAGGTTCAATCATACATAGATAAACGTAAGAGTAATGCGATTATGAACACCACGTATCATTGATTGTACAAGAACACACTCGGAAAGAAAAGATATCACATAAGATAATATGCCTATTGATACCCTAATGATTTATTACTTCAGTAAATTGTTTGCCCAGGATCACCTCTGTTAAAAACACCTGTTTGAAGAGTGGCGAGGGTAGAATATAAAGAAAAAAGAGACTCATATGTGGTGTAAATGAAATATAGTAAGTGAGCAACATGAAATGAACGAACCAAGAAGTTCGTTCATAAGTACAAGCATCATGAAACAGAAAAATTAATTGAGGTAGTTGCGTTATGAAACATATGATGGGGCCAAGCAGAAGACCTTGCCGTTCGCGTGCTTGTTTCGCTAAAGTTCTATGCACTGGAAGGTGTTGACTGATTGCTTTTGACCGACTAATGAATACTATAATGATCAAACCGCTTAAAAGGTTAATGATAAATGGAACAATTTGATGCACTAGTGATATGTACTGAGCAAAGTTTTCTTGATTCGTACCAATCTCACTTACACACCACGAATAAAGTTCATCAGGATGGTTAACTAATTTATATTGATCGATATATATATAGCTCGAGCCAAATACCACAACAGTTATGAGTGCAGTAAAAATGTAGGCCAACTTGGGTGCGCGCAACGTAGAAAATCGTGCAGGCAATGTAACTAGTAATGCTCTGTCCACTGTGACAAACGCCATCAGCCAAAGACTTACATAGTTAAGCGAAGACATGAAATAAGGTAGACTCTTGCATAATCCAATATTTAGCGATTGTCTAATGATAATTAGACGTGAAAGATACAGATAAGCAACGCGACTACATAAGAGAACGAGCACTAGTTGACTGGTAAATGCGTTGACAAGAAGATAGAATCCACTACCTGTCTGACGGGATTTTGGTTTTACGAATGTGACAATACTGAAACCATTGAAAATTGTACCGAAGAATACGAAGATAATCGGTCCAATGAAATGATAGCGGTCCCATTTTGCTTTTTCCATAAGATATTCCAAAGAGATTATAAAACGACTTGGAGAATATTGGCAAAGCTTGCCTGATACACATTTAGGGCATACGCAAACAAAGTCACTTTTATTCTGGGACTCACCTTGAATACAGTAGCCTTGATTAAGACAAAGTGTGCAGGCAATATTCCGTCGAAGGTACGACACACATTCGCTTCTGTTTGGTGTCATCATACTGCAATAGCATAGATAACTCTCCGATAAGAAACATGAATAATTCACTGGTTGCTGACAAAAGCTGTGATAAAGTTTCACAGAACGATGCTCCGTTTCATTCAATAACCGGCACCGTTGAGGTTGAATGTCAAGGTCGATTGTAAAGTTTCGCAGAACATTTGAACAATTTATGTAGAGCAGATGAAAACCGATATCAACTGATTTTATGCGTGGTTGAAATGTAAACATTAAACCTATTTCAGGTATATCGGCTTTTCTATAGTGCGTGTCATGTGTTTTCATTATTCTTGTGATTGGAAAATTGGTTGATGCGTGAACGAGAATATGTTGTCGTAAGCGTGGGTAATTCGAAGTCATTTTAAGCAGTTGAAGAAGAAAAGGCCACTCATTTGGTTTATTTTGATGCATAACAATTACTGTTGCTTGCATGTCACAGTTCAAGCCGTTGCACAGACATTCATAACTGTTAGGAGGTCGAGTAGAGAGAGCATAGCATGTTTCATTTAGTGAGCAAGGATGTAACTTCTCACACACAGTATTACGAACAAAACAATGAGGCTCAAGATACCCATATGGGCATACACAAACATTTCGATCTCGTGCAAGAGAATGGAAAGCACATTTTATGTCATTAATTCTCTTCTCACAAAAAATACCTTGCCAACCTCGTTGGCATATACATAAATGTTGCCCATTATTTGTATTATAACATGTTCCATTATTTTGACAATGATTATACGAACATAGCCAGGGTAGATTACGATCCGGAAATCGCAATATTTTGGCAAGACGAAAAACAGGTAGAAAACTGAATGGACTAATTGGATATTCCCATGCCGTTAGTATATTAGTTGAATGATAGGCTTCGAAACGTACTGAATATATTCCCTGCAGTCTAGGACGAGGATATTGCAAGTAGATAGTGTGTTTAGATGGAAAATCTTTGTCCATATCGACAAGCATTTGATGATCAATAATTGTTTGGTTATTGTATACAAGTAAAACCAGCACATGTATGACCAGTGGAAGATCGAAACGGCGACATCGATCGACGCGAACACGAACAGTTATGCGTCGGCTGTTAAATTGGCAACGAGTGCCATAAAAGCTCGGAGGACAAAAGCAATAATATGCTTTAAGACTTTCATCAGTCAGATAGAAACCTCGATTACATACTCCATGCGGACGAGACTTTCGACTTTGTCTATTGCCAAGGATCATTAGTGATGTTTTAGTAGTACTAGTTGTCAATTGAGTACTCAAATGACTAGAGCAAAACGTCTCATAATTCGATGGACGTTGACGTTTACTTAAGCGGTATATCATTGATGCAGTTCTCCCATTGGAACACCAAAACCAAAGCGTCTCATTTGAACATGTGCAGTTCGATTTGGCACTACATCGACCATTTTCACATGAATTTGTATCTAAACAAGCCAGTTGTTCTTTAATATACTGTTCATATTGGCACAAACAAATATATTCATCTGTACGATCCAAACAATCAAATACGCCATTACATAAAGTTGTATAGTTAAGACATTTCGTTTGATTATCACATGAAAATCGATTGCCAAGCATTGTATGATCTGAACAAGAGAATACGTTACGTTCATCTTGGCCACCTAAACAGTCAATTTTACCATCACCCACATTGGTATATGATATACAAGGACGGTTTAGTATGCGATCCTGTAGATATTGTAACGTTATACAAAGATGTTCATTTGATTTGTTACAAACGAATTCTAAATGCCATTCTTGTGATCGTCTAGGACAGTTCAATTCGTCTTCGCCATCATCGCAATCAAATTCTCCGTCACATAAATATGTTCTTTTGATACATTGACTTGTCCTGTTGCACTGATAAGTTCCATGTGCACAAACCCATTTAGAGCAGTTTCGTTCATCTCGACCATCCATCGTATCCCAAACTGTATCGCAATAAAGATGAAAAGGTAGTCGAACATCTTTTATTCTATTCTCAATGATTCCATCACCTCGAAATACCCAGCAAGCATAATTATCATCAACCCTACAATCCAAAGAAGACCAACTCAGTTCACTTGAGATTTCATCACTACCATCTGCACATTCGTTCACTCCATTGCCCAATTGTTGAAAGCTTACATACTGAACTGGCGATGATTCTGTCTGACAACGATATCGAAATGGTTCGATCATCGTGTAAGCACTATTCTTTTCGTCCTCAGCATAAAGGCAATCTGCGTAGCCATCGTTGACACGACGTAGTGAGATATAATCTGACGTATTCGTACAAGTAAAAACCATTGATAATGGTAGTTGTCCATATGTATTCGATTGGAATAGAGTAACACTGCAACGTTTTAAAGGTAGATGAGTACTGACTAGGTTTTCTTGTTCCAATGACTGTTTTGTACGAGTGAAACATTAGTATTACTCAAAATGAATCATTCTTCTGTACTTCAACATATACTTTAGAGATTTAAAATTATTTATAGGCTGTTTTAATTGAATATACAATGGGTGCATAGAATTTTTTAAACCGTATTTGATTGTATCTCCGAAGAGTCTTTTGCGAACGTAAGTCTGTTGGATTTTTCTCTTAAAGTGATTCTCTGTTCCGGAGGATGGACGAAAGAACTTCATATATGAGATGTCTATACGAGAGATTTCTCTATATCGGCCTATGGACATGTTTCCTTCGTATTATACTAGACTAACTACTTTTAGGATGCAGAGAAACGATAAAGAATTATGTACAACAATACAGTTGTAGAGTATATTTTTTGGATAGTACAGAATGCTTCCCTAAAGAAATGAGTGTACATGAAACAATCGGTTTAGGCTAAGAGATAAATTTCTCATCGAATATTAAATACGCTGTCTGTTAAACATAATCCACGAACAATCATTCTATGTTTCATAGCTTCTCATTCGTCAAATTGCAGAACACCACGTTGTTTGTTTTCTTATTTTCACAAAATTTGAACCTAACTGTTATGTCAGTAGAAACATTTTCGAGATAAGAAGACTTCCTCGATTCTGTTATTGCATTGGATAAGTACATTCTTTATTCATCTTTTTCTGAGTGAATTGCTTTTTCTTTCTGGGAATAAATTATTTGGAGCAAAGGTTGAAAAAGAAAAGGTCTAAAATATTTGATACACTACCTAGGAAACAACACAGAGCCCTCAACCACTATATACGTTTCTCGTGTGAGAAGTAGATGTGGTATTCGAAGTGTTTCTCTTTACTTAGAAGACGAAAGAAAAGAGATCATAAAAGCTGCTTTCCAGTATAGGAATAATACACCTACTTGAAAGAAATCCCAACATGAATGAGTTACCACGTGATTTAGGAAAGATGACTCCCCGTATGATTGCAAATGAACCCTTAAATCAGATAGCGGTTACCTAGGATTATGGGGATTACCACAGCTTACAAGATATTATCAAAGTATACCCAAGATTCCAATGAATTATTAAAAACTGGAGTCTTATAACATCAACTGTACCCTATCCGCATGCTCAAAGCAGAAACGACAGGCTTCAGTTCTTTGCGAAAGAGAGTATCTTTTATTCCATTGTATCGTCATATCACAATGTTACTATCTCGGTTATAAGACTAATAAAATTAATCTGTTCAGAAAGACAAAGGAAACAAGTCGAACCCTACAACATGCTTTCCTTTATTGCTATATGAAGTGAATTCACTCACGAATGAAATAATTCTTAAAATGAAGGCGAAGTTAATACTTTATGACTGATACATGATGCAGCTCGTAGGCATTTATCTTCTCCGACAGTGGTAACTTCATGGATTATTTAATTGTGTATGAAAGTTTTCTGATGAGTTTGGGCAATAAAAAAGATCCTTTTGCTCACAGAAGACAACTCTAGAAACGTTAACATCTCTCAAATCAGTCATAATGCACTTGTCTGTGAAATGTTATCCCTTCAGATGACTAACTTTTCAAATTTGGCTTGTTTTACTGCTTCATGACAGAATAATTGAGATATTGGGAAGAATGGATACGAAGTAAGTGTTCGGAAGTAATTGTAGTTCATACAATGATCTTTCTGGAGTGCCATCCAGATCCCATGACAAACCATCGAACCACTGAAACAGACAAGATCCGGTCGTTTTAACATTTGTTTTGTAAAATTTTGCTGACTTGTATAAAAGTCGATGATTTGAGACCTTTTATAGAACATTTTGAATACTGGAGAAAACACAGGCTGTTCAGGATATTCAATAGTTTCTAAACAACGATCCTTAATATTGTTTATAGCCATTTTACGCATTTTACTCAGTTGTTGTTCTCCAGTTGTGAGTAGCAAATACCGAAGATTTATCAAACAACTTGATGTATTTGTCAATTGAGGTATTTGAAGACTTGTTGGCGAACAGATAGCATTTGCTATCAAATGATTAGTTATCACGAAGTCGGGTGTCTCGCAGAAGTAAGTTGCATCACGCCAATTTTCACAAGAGACCTGATGATCAATGAGAGAAGACCATTTTATGCATTGCCCATCACCACATGAAAATTCATTCTTCCGACAAAGACGTTCATCACATTCCATTGTTGACATTTTCGGACACCTATTGTACACTTGATAGATATCACTCAATTCTTGTTCATCACTCAAATCCATGCAATCGGGCACCGCATCAAATAAGAACTCCTTTGGAATACACATTCCATTTCGACATTGGAATTCATCCGTGTTGCATTTGTTGAATTCTAACAAATGGCAATCGAGTTCATCAGCTGCATTTTGACAATTGACAATGCCATCACAAATTTGTCGCCATTCCAAATTAAGAGTACTTGTATTACATGATATTTCATCGACAAAAGATGCTGGTAATTCTGATTCTTTTTGGATCCCAGTCTTACCGTTTAGTTGCATTTGTATCACTTGAGAAATGCTTACAGTTTCCTTTGTCAGTTTATATTCACATTTCGTGCCGACTCGACTTGGAAAACATTGACAAATGGTTGTGTTGTCATTGGAATCGATAGAAGTGGAATTCAAATAGCTTGCATATCGTTCAATAACGCTAAATGGAATAAGCCAATCGATGAGCTTGTCCGTAGTGACGTTCCTTTGTTTCAATTGAGAAAATGGCCGTAGTTGACCTTTTGTGCATGTCATGTTTGTCTTTTGTATAACAATCTGATCGTCTGCCGAATGACAGAAGTAACGAGAATCGTATAAGAAGCAATCTGTGTCCGGTTCGTCATTGGAATAAATTAACCATTCATTACGTTCAGCCAAAGCAAAAATGTCATAACGACTGAAGATGAATGTAAACGACGTCCACAGAAGTATCATTCCTTTTATCATTTATGACTAAACCAAGTTGAATAAAATTATGAATAGAATTAAACGACTGCTTGTAGAGTACTGATGTTGATACACATTGTATTGACTCAACAAGAGAATTGCAAATTCTCTCTCCACAGAGCTCAGTAACAGAACTAATCAAAGACTGCACATAACTGATAGTTGCTAAAAGGCATTAACACGTAAATGGCAATGACTGACGCATAACTTCAAGTCATTCACAGTCAATAGCACGTAGCTTGTATTTACTGACAGTCACTTGTTTTTTTGTCGCAGCTTTCCTTAAAACAAGCATGACTTTTGTTTCAACAATTATAGAAAAAAAACCAGTAATTGTTGTCGTATTTGTGTTGCATGGATACTTATACAATACGCTCTCATCCATTGTTAACGTCGCTTCATATGTAGATCATAGAAAACTAGAAACTGGACAGTTCGCTTGAAAGTTCCGATCTGATTCACTGTTCGCAACGTTGATCGATCAGAGCTGAACTGTTTGAAAAGTTCAGCTCAGCTCTATGAATCCATCGAGCTGGCTTGAGGGTGGTTGTGGATGTGAATGGGTCGATGCGGGTGTGTGAGTGTCGTAGCTTCTCAAAAGAGATACTTTTTAATGAAATATCGCTATTTAAAGAAAACTTTGGCTATTTAAAAGCTTTGATACTGGTTTTTTCATAGTTAGCTAGCAATTCAAACAAAACAACAGTGACACTCAATTATTTAAATAGCTGCGTGGCTCATTGTTTTGCGTTCTGGTTTTTTTGAATTCATCCTCACATCAAGTAAGCAACCCCCTGCTCGTGGTTTATTTTGTTTTTTCGAAATAAATGATATTAGATGATAAAAAGATAAAATAAAAAAAACGAATTCATCCTCACATCAACCCAACAACCCTCTGCTCGTGATTTATTTTATTTTCTTTTTTGAAGGAAAAGATATTAGATGATAAAAAGATGAAATAATAAGAAAGAATCTATCCTGTTATCAACCAAACACAAACCTCTGATCGTAGTTTATTTTCTTTCAAAGTAAAAGATATTAAAAGATAGAAAGATTGCATAAAAAACGAATTCATTCTCACTCAACCAAACAAACCTCTGCTCGTGGTTTATTTTGTTTTTTTTTTTATTACAGTAAAACATATTAGATGATAAAAAGATGAAATAAGGAAAAAACGAATTTATCCTCATATCAACTAAACAAACCCTTTTCTGAAGAATCAGCAAGGTAGGATGAATATTTGAGCAAAATATCTACTAGTGATGATAACGTAGTATTCTTTTTGATGCTTATAAGAATAAACATATAATTGTCAGTATTTTTTATTGTTAGAAATCGCAGACTCTGATTTAGGTTTTTTTCTTTTCTATCGCAATTTTAAATAGTTGCAAGATATTTAGATAGCAATGATAGGATAAAATAGGCAAATGAATAATTAAATTGCTATGCAAATCATTAAATAGCTACAAAATCTTTAGAAAGCTGTGATAGTATTAAATAGCCAAATGAATGATTAAATAGCTATGTAAATCATTAGATAGCTATAGCAACTTTAAATAGCTACAAGATCTTTAGATAGCTATGATAAGATTAAATAGGCAAGTAAATGATTAAATTGCTATGCAAATAATTAAATAGCTATAGCAACTTCAAAATAGCTACAAGATCGTTAGATAGCTATGATAGCATTAAATAGCTATACAAATCTTTAAATAGCTATCGCAAGTTTAAATAGCTGCAAGATCTTTAGATAGCTATGATAGCATTAAATAGTCAAGTCAAAGATTAAATAGCTATGCAAATCATTAAATAGCTATAGCAACTTTAAATAGCTACAAGATCTTTAGATAGCTACGATAGCATTAAATAGTCAAGTCAAAGATTAAATAGCTATGCAAATCATCAAATAGCTATAGCAACTTTAAATAGCAACAAGATCTTTAGATAGCTATGATAGCATTAAATAGCCATGTAAATGATTAAATAGTTGTGCAAGCCATTAGATAGCTAAAGCAATTTTAAATAGCTATAGGATCTTTAAATAGCTGTGATAAGATTAAATAGCCATAGCAACTTTCAATAGCTAGAAGATCTCTAGATAGCTATGATAAGTTTAAATAGCCATGTGAAAGACTAAATAGCTATACAAATGATTGAATAGCTATGAAAGCCTTTAAATAGCTATGGCACGTTTAAATAGCTACAAGATCTTTAGGTCACTATGACAGTATTAAATAGCTATGACAATGATTAGTAGTTAGACTAGGAAATCATTGAACAAGTTTGTCTTCGAAGTCATTTGATGTTAATTATACACAAAAAGAAATTGTATCTCTTTTGAGAATGAGCCGTGAGTGTGGGGCGTGGGTGTGGGGTATGAGTGTGGATGTGGGTGTGGGTGTTAGTGGGCGGGTGTGGAGTGTGGATGTGGGTGTGGATGTTAGTCGGCGGGTGTGGAGTGAGGATGTGGGTGTGGGTGTTAGTGGGCGAGTGTGGAGTGTGGATGTCAACTGTTCCACGCGCACCCACACCTACACTTCCCCACACCCACGCCCACACCCACACCCACACCTACACTTCCCCACACCCACGCCCACACCCACACCCACACC